GTCCTATTTCGCCCATTTTCAATACCAACCTACCTTGGATTTACAGAAACCTACATACCAAATTTCGTTGAGATATCTCAATTTTTGCTCGAGTTATCGTGTACACGGACAGACGGACAGACGGACGGACAGACAGACATGGCTTAATCGATTTCTTTTTTCATTCTGATCATTTATGTATACATTTGTCTATATCTATCTCGATTCCTTTTGGCTGTTACAAACAACCGTTATGTGAACAAAATTAATATAAAGTTGTGCACAAGTGCGCTCGGGTATAAAAAGAACAAAAGAAGTTTGGTTATAAACATATAAATTCAAGTGAGGTATAGTTATATCAAATGTACCATAAAGTATGTTAGATGCTAAGGAAAACTGCGATCAGGATTGTTTGCCGTTCCTTCCATCCCAATTGCACAACAATAAAAAGTCGTCAGTGTACATGTGTCGCAGTATATCTTATACACTGTCCGAAACAACTTTTTTTCTCGAAACGAACAGATTCTGAAAATAAACAAAAATTTATACAACAATGTAGAAACAAAAAAAAATTGACCTAACCATTCCGGCGAGATACTCTTGACACTTCAATTTTTCTTCAACTTCGAAAGCAGCTTCTAGTGTTGTCAGTGGTAAAGTGGAAGCAATTTCTGTTTGTTGATCGTCGACCTCTTCCCCGGTCATTCGACAAACTGAATGGTGAATTTTTTTTATGAGGACTTTGCATTCGCGTACGGTTTTTTGCTGGGCCATTTCTTCGCTTTTTTGTATGATCTGAAAATGAAAATATTGCAAAATTTACGCATAAAATAGATTGAATGAATTATATTTTTAGTAACGATATTACTGCGTAAAAAAATCTTTCTGTACTTACATTTTCTTTCAAATAATTTCAATCTTGGTTTCTAGGTTAGTAACTCGGGTATCCAAATTGATAATATTTGTGGTCAGGGCTTTTAGTTGATCCGATATATTTTGAAGTATGCATAAAACCTCTGGAAAAAAGTTGAAAATAAAATGCAGTAAATAAATATGTTAAGGTTTTAAAATATATTTAAAGGGTTGAATACCATTGTTTACAGTGGGCATATTGGATTCGGAATGTTTTGAAAAGCTGGTCTGCGAATCGTAAAAACCGGATGTATAAAAGCTGGTATCCGAACCGTAGGCACCGGATGTGTTAAATCTTTTTTTCTTCATCTTCATAAAAATCAAAAAGGAAAACAACAAATTATATAAAAGTCGTATACCTTTTAATGGCGTCGATGACTTTGCAGGACATTCCTCCAAGTGATTTTCGTCAAATAGGTCTATAGCATCCATCTAATAAAAAATAAAATAATTAGGCCGTATCAAACATTTCGCTTCTTAATATAAAATTATACGACGGCTCGAATCAAACCGAATGGTTTCGACTAGTGAACTGAACTAACTTGAAAATTCATGAAAAAGATTATGAGTAATGGAATAAGAAGAAATTTGCTCTCATGTGTAATACAAAAATATTTATAAGAAATGTCATCTTTTTCGGTTTTTACTACTTTCGTATCTAATTCACTAGCTAATAAAATGCCTAATGAAGATGAGGATTCCACCGGTAATTGAAAGTAACTTTCAATGCCCAGAAAACTCTGCGCCATTACTGCAACATGTCCTGGTTCGTCATACATGTTTAATACTTTGATGGGGCCTAGCTTTCGGCTAAAACAATAACAGTCTTTTTCCTTTTTATGGTCTATATTAAAAGACCCAATTTTTGAAATTTTACTGCTTCCATCGTTTACACTGTTTCTTTCCTCTAGCCTTAAATACAATTGTTGCAGAATTTTATTAGGTTTATTTATAAGCTTTTTCAAATACTGCATGTGATTTTCAAACTTGTAAGCTGAAAATCTATCTAGAAGAGGGCCATAATGCTTCGCACAGTCAGTTAAATGCAGTAAACCATGCACATTGAAACTTACTAAGTGGTTTCCATATATATTCCCAAACATATCCACAAATTCCTCTAAAATTTGTTGGGCAACATTTGCTTCAGTTCTAAAGCACTTTTCACAAGATAGCATTCTCACACCCGCATGCAGTAAGAGAAAATGATAGTAAAGGTCACTATCAATACAATCTTTCAACACAAATATCCCTATATACAATAAGAATTGCCGAAATTCTGTCGCTTTCCAATTACTGATTTCGTCTAAATTCCTACAAATCCGGCCGAATTCAGTAGGAACAAACTTGGAAAGAAAACATATTTTTTCATTCATTTTAGTGACGTTGCCTTTTTTGATCAGTAATTGGAGCAGCTTTTTACAAACACCAAGGTCTATAAGATGCGTTGGGTCTAATGGAGATTGGGATACCATTTTGAAATTCCCAGACTCTAAAACGCTTTCGCTGGTTTTGAAAGGAGCAATATGATGTGAAGGATCAACTCTGTTTTTAAATGAAAAATCGGTTCTCAAGTTACGTAATTTTTTAGAAAAGCAAACTCTCCTATTCTGGTATTTTCCTACTTGATGGCATTTTGGGCAACTGTTTTTTCCAGTGTGTGACTGTACACCTGTTACAAAGGCTCGAGCTGGTGAATCACAACAGAATGATCGAATTTAAAATTTTTTTCTAAAACTAATCTGTAGACCATTTTCTTTTAAAAAAACTACTTCTTCGCAAAATTCTTTTAAAAAATCATTGCTATTCCAAGGTTTTCCCATTCCAGAAAAACATGCAATAGTAAAGGGTCTTTCGTTTGGAAAATCAACTACTGCTCCTAAAATTGGCCATAATACCCTATTCGAGTTTTTATATAATTTAAGGCCATCTATTCCTATATCAAGCGCCACAACGTCTCTGTTTTCAAGGAAAGGAAACGAGTTTTTCTTGAAATGATTTTGTATCCCGCGATACAGAAATTCTCCACTTGGAATTTTTTGAATATGCACCTTTTTTCTGCTTGTACCCAAAAGATTTTTTGCCAATAAAGGTAAATCAGTGTATCCTATTTTCCGCAATGTTTGAAGTAAATCGGTGACTGTGTTGTGCGAGACCCTATTTCTCAAAACCCATGCTTTTATTTCCAGCACTTTTCTAGCATTTTTGGGTTCTACCGTATTTATATCTTCACTTTCACTACTATCACCAGACATAGATAAGGAATCGAGCGAGCAGGCTGAACTGGTCAATTCCTCAGCACTAAGATCACATGACGAATCGCGTAAGCAGGCTGAACTGCTCAATCCCTCAGCACTATGACCTCATTGCGTCTTCACAAACAAATCGTCAATTTTTGCATATTTTGCCGCACTTATATTAAAGGCCTTTTTTTTTGCGGCTCATGTATCAGAAAATGTACTTCTTTTCATTTTTATAAATTTAGCTTACCCTTTGTTCAATGTGGTTTAAATATTTGTTTGAAATAAATGAATATAAACAATAGGTGTGTACTCGTATTGAGAGGACAAAATTCTCCAGCAGCAAAAGTTCTGAGAATTTAGCAGCATTCGCTCTCAAAGAGACGAAATATCAACAAAAGTACGAGAACGCAAAATTTGCAAAAACTTGCAACCTTCGAAACAGCTGATCACAGTTGCCACTGGTGATTAATTTGGCAATTTATTTTCTGCTTGGTGTATTTTCCTCCGATTAGGTATTTTATACATTTGAATAGTTTTGGATAAGAAAAACCTTTTTAAAATACGATTTAATTATATCGGAATGAATAAGTTATTTTTCTCATAATTATTTGTGATATCACATGGTGACGCATTAAAAACAATAGTATCTCCTCCAAACACCCATCATTGAACCAATAAAATGTAATATAGTAGGTTTAAAATTATAAAATTTTCATTTCAACAATCAACCCACCAAAACCGAAAACTTCAGCAAAACAACATTTCAGCATGCTGCATTTAAATCTATTTTGGTATATTTTAAGGTAAATTATGGTACAAACGAAAAATGTCATACGGCAACCATAGTCAGCACATACTAAAGTAAACAAACTGGAGATTAATAGCAAATTAACGAAAAATATACTCAATGAATGTTGTGCTTATTAAATTTACGCACTTTTTAGTTGTATACTAGCATTAAAAATAAAAATTGCAATAATAACTCAAAAAGGCCATATTTTCTTTTGTTTATTTACAAACATGTGTTTGTGATCAGCTGATTTTCTTACTTGCAAGTTTTAGCTGGGAAAAAATTTTCCAGCAGAAATTTGCAGCTCTCTTTCACATTTTGCTCTCTCAATTTCCCCTACTTTGCAAGTTTTTTGGGTACGAGAACGCAAAACCAGTAAAAGTTTTCTAAAACTTTAGATAGTTGGGCGTACGAGTACACACCTAATTTAAAGCTTTACAGAACACGCGCTCAAAGAATTCAAAATTTTTCACAGCGAATAAGCGTTTTGAAGTTTGGCACCCAGGCGACTTTGCTTTTCTTTTAAAATTTTGTTTTGATTGCCAAACAAATCAATTAGTTTGACTGGTTGCTCATATGTGAAAAAATTAGCGTGACTACTTACTCATATGTGAAAGATAGCTAGCAGAAAAAAACAATAAATGGAAATCCGTTGAAAAATTATTACAGTTGTATTATTAACACCATAAAATTTGAGTTTGTGTTGGAGTTTCGGTCACGCTGGTTTTGCTGGGACGTTTGAATGAATTTGCTTTCGCTTTGTTACGCTCTCGCATGTATTTGCATGTGATGCTTACGCTCTTTAAGCAGGCGCTCACTCTCTGTCCATGCTTGTATATGAGCAAATTTGACATCGATATCACGATCCAGAATATAAAGGTCGCGCCATTCGCGGACCGCTAACCCTCTCTTCCTCGATTTGACAGCATCCACCTAATCGCTGACGTCATAAAATACTTTTGTTTACATTCCCTGTTGCCAACTTCATGCTTTTCGCACCAAATTTAGTGGGTATTCAAAACGCGAAAATTTTTGAGTTTGGTGCTTGGCGCGTTTTTGGTGCTTTTGTTTTTAGTTTGAAGACACCAAATTAGAAAATCTTAAAAAAAATGGAAGCAAAATTCATAGCAATCGTAAGTGTGGTAAGCAACTTTACAAAAATTTAAACAAAATCATGGCACAGTGACAATCATAAGCGACAACAAAATATGTGACGGTACCTTCAATCATGCCAGAAGAAATCAACCGTCGTGCAAGAAACATTGATTTTTATTAATTTGAATCGGCATCCTTACAATAAAATTATGTATGCATATAAAGTCTATAAAATACACCAATAAAAATTTGGTGCTTTTTCAAATTCAAAATTTGGCAATACTGCCTTTTGTCCGATGCTTCCTCTTTTTCTTGTCGAGTTCGTCTTGCTCGCTCATTCTGGTATTTATTGACGTCACGGCCAGTTGCTCTCAGTTCGATTGGCGCAATCTTGTATTCTATCAAGAGTATTACCGCAGCCGTACTGCGATGAACATGATGTTGGTGGGATATAAATAATTTTTTCGCAACTTTTCATACCCCTCCTCCCGTAAACTGTTTTTCCCTTTCTCCAGCCCGCGCTCGCACTTTCGCTACTGCGCGGGCAAAAAAGTTCCCATGTCTGGTTTAAAGGAAGCTTTTCTTTTTCCAATCTGGCTTTTGAGGGTTAGGTTATTGTTGTTGTAACTTCTCTATAGTTTTCATACATTACCCTGCCAGCCACGGCTCACCACTTTCCCCTGAAAATCAAACGATTTACAAACACATTCACAACTTTTTGATCATCTCACCCACACACTTACAAATTTTTTGTTCGAACTGTCAAAAAAATGTCCCTTTGTTAGAGCTACATACCCGATAAGAATTCGTACTCTAATAAGAATTCTATGCGTTAGAGCGAGCAAGTTAGAAACATCGGAGTTTTGATGACAGTATACATACTGTGAAGAAATGTCACTTTGCGGAAATTTTGAAGGTAAGGATACGTATTTAACAATTTTATTTAATTATAATGTAATTTCTTCTTTTAGACTGCAAAACACCAGCGACTTTAGTCACATTCTTAAGGTATGTATTGAGACTTTTTATATGTTTATAAAATTGAATTGATATTTTTGTTTGTTTACAGTTTTGGGATTCACCATCAGCACCTTCAACGCTTGCATCTTCATCGCCAGGAGCACCATTAAAACCTTCTGCCCTCAGCTTCTTCATCGCCAGGAGCACCACCAGTACCTTCTATC